GCTCTCTAACCTGGGCAACAGAGCAAAACTCCACCTCAAAAATAAAATAAAATAAAATTAGCCCAGCATGGTAGCATGTGTGACTGTAGTCCCAGCTACTAGGGAGGCTATGGCATGAGGATGACTTGAGTCTGGAAGGTCGAGGCTACAGTGAATCATGATCATGTCACTGCACTCCAGCCTGGGTGACAGAGTAAGACCCTATCTCAAAAATAAATAGCAGCAACAGAAAAAAGCATATAGAACCTTTGTAATCAGACAAAAGCAAGAGTTTCTCTATTTCCCAGTTGGTATAGGAAAGGAAAACCCAGAGAAGTCCCATGCTGACCTAGAGGCAAACTTAATGCCAAAGCCAACTGCTTCCTAGAAGTGCCCTTGCTAGCCAACACTCTCTTCACCACACTGCAGGACTCCCTTCACTCTGTGACCCAGAAATACAAGCCCTCAATCCTTTCTTCTTTTCTTTTTCATTTTTTTTTTTTTACAAAGCAATCCTTTCTTCTTAATTCCAAAATCCATAAAGCTCTGAAAACCCAATTTTTTTATACACAAGTTTACCATTAGGTATGAAACCTAAACTGATAGGAAGACATGTACAGGCTTTGTGTATCTGACTTACTGAGGGTATTTATACATTTTGCTGAAATAATTTTTTTCCTTATGGGATGGTGTCTTCTGAGATATGAAAAACTCTGCATTTAAAAACACACCTGACCCCGAGGGTTTTGGATACAGAGTTGTAGACCTGAATTTACAGTTGGAGAAGTGTTAGATTAGTAAGCATTTCCTTTAAAAATGCAAACTCTCAGCCGGGTGCAGTGGCTCACACCTGTAATCCCAGCACTTTGGGAGGCCAAGGTGGGTGGATCACCTGAGGTTGGGAGTTCGAGACCAACCTGACCAACATGGAGAAACCCCGTCTCTACTAAAAATACAAAATTAGTCGTACATGGTGGCACATGCCCGTAATCTCAACTACTCGGGAGGCTGAGGCAGGAGAATCACTTGAACCTGGGAGACAGAAGTTGCAGTGAGCTGAAATCATGCCATTGCACTCCAGCCTGGGCAACAAGACAAAATTCCATCTCAAAAATAAATTAACAAATAAATAAAAATGCAAACTCTCACTAGAGCAAAGTGAAAGAGTGACGCTGAAGAGTAAAGGACTACCCGTCACTCACGACACGTTATCAATTTGTCCCACTGCCTTCCTCTTAAAACCTAGCTGACATCAGCTACATGGAGAAAAAGGAACAGAGACCTAAGAAGTTTCTTGGCTGGGCGCGGTGGCTCAAGCCTGTAATCCCAGCACTTTGGGAGGCCGAGGCAGGTGGATCACAAGGTCAAGAGATTGAGACCATCCTGGTCAACACGGTGAAACCCCGTCTCTACTAAAAATACAAAAAATTAGCTGGGCATGGTGGCGCGTGCCTGTAATCCCAGCTACTCAGGAGGCTGAGGCAGGAGAATTGCCTGAACCCAGGAGGCGGAGGTTGCGGTGAGCCGAGATCACGCCATTGCACTCCAGCCTGGGTAACGAGAGCGAAACTCCGTCCCCCCCAAAAAAAAAAAAAAAAAGAAGTTTCTTGAACATGAAACATCTGGAGAAACAGCCTATCTGGAGAGGTCCTGAGGAAAAGGAAAGTGCCAGGGGACTTGGAGACCTAAGGAGAAGGACAGAGAATCTGAGTTTAGAGAAAGACAAATCTCTGCCTAATTCAAACCTGGGCCACAGAAAGAGACCAGAAGCTCTCTTCCTCCTCCCACCTGTCCTGCAAGCTCTGTTCCCAGAACCCAAAACTGAGGACCCTGCTATTAGTAAATTGGCACTTCAAGTAAGATGCCAAATAAAAAGCTTTGTAGGTCAGACTAGTAACCCAACCACATTGCTTTTATGGGAAAATGTGTCCCACATTCCATATAATCAACTTGCAAATGATCTTTGGGAACCTACAGTCCTCTTCTAAGCGTGAGACAACCGTCCCCTGCAGAGGGAAAGCCCTCCTTGGAGGCTGCAGTGAGCCAAGATCACGCTACTGCACTCCAGCCTGGGTGACAGAGTGAGACTCTGTCTCAAAAAATAAAAAATTAAAAAAAAAGAGAGAGCCCTCCTGACATTATTTCACAAGGACACTTCACAGGAAGAAAGCCTTCAGGCCAGTCCATGTTTGGGAAAAGGCTACCTTACCGGGAAGCACTATAACAAATTACTGATGAAACACACACAAGTTGCCAGAACACACAATCCCAAATCAAAGAAACAAGACTTCAAAGACAGGGCTGTGATAAAACAGGTCACATCCACAGTCTCTCCAGCCTCAGATTATGTCTCTGACAAAGGTTCCAAGAGACACTGGATTCCCAACAATCTCACAGTATAAAAGTAACATCCAGAATTTTAGAAATGTTCCTTCCTAAGCCCCCCAACAAAGACTCTAACATACAGTATTATCATCAGCCATTTGATACTGGTCTACATGTCCAACCTACACAATTTTGAAACTTTGAAAAAGATAAAAGCAATCAGCATTTACTTATTGCCTACTATATTGCCTACTATGTCCTATGCTTTGCCCATATCTTCTTATAGAACACATACTACCATTCTAACGAGAGTATACTAGCCTCATTTTAAGAAATAACTGAGGCTCTTTTCTTGGGGAAAAAAAATAAATTTTAAAAAAGAGAGAGGTACCTGATACTCACAGAGGCTATGACCTGCCAGGCAGAGCCAGATCTGTGTGACTCCAAAATCCAGTTTTCATCACTACATTGAGTTAAGGGGAACTTCTTGGCCAGGTGCAGTGGCTCACGCCTGTAATCCCAGCACTTTGGGAGGCTGGGGTGGGCGAAACACTTGAGGCCAGGAGTTTAAGACCAGCCTGGCCAACATGGCAAAATCCTGTCTCTACTAAAAACACAAAAAATTAGCCCAGCATGGTGGCAGGCACTGTAATCTCAGCAACTCGGGAGGCTGAGGTATGAGAATCGAATGAACACCGGAGGCGGAGGTTGCAATGAGCCAGGCTGGGTGACAGAGTGAGATTCCATCTCAAAAAAAAAAAAAGGAGTAGAAAAAAGAAAGAAGAAGAAGAGGAAGAAGAGGAGGAGGACCATGTCCAGGGACCTGGATCTTTCCAGCCATGGAAAACCTCCCTGAGCCTTCCTCTCTTTCGGGGCACAGGTTCTCTCTCCCCCTACTCCCCACCCCCATTCATCTCCAGAGACACATTCATCTCACTGATAACTGTGGTTGCCTTATATCTCCTGTCTCTTGATGTCACTACCAGAACTTTGATTTGAAATGGAGTCTCGCTCTGTTGCCCAGGCTGGAGTGCAGTGGCACAATCTTGGCTCACTGCAACCTCTGCCTCCCAGGTTCAAGTGATTCTCCTGCCTTAGCCTCTTGAGTAGCTGGGATTACAAGCACATGCCACCACGCCCGGCTAATTTTTGTATTTTGAGTAGAGACAGCGTTTCATCATGTTGGCCAGGCTGGTCTCGAACTCCTGATCTCAAGTGAGCCGCCCTCCTCAGCCTCCCAAATTGCTTTGATTACAGGTGTGAGCCACCGTGCTCAGAGTCATTACCAGATGCAATCTTGGCTCACTGCAACCTCTGCCTCCCGGGTTCAAGCAGTTCTCCTGCCTCACCCCAGGGCCCCCAGATGAAACTACAGGCACATGCCACCATGCCCAGCTAATTTTTGTATTTTTAGTAAAGACAGGGTTTCACCATGCTGGCCAGGATGGTCTCTATCTCTTGACCTCATGATCCGCCCACCTCCTCCTCTCAAAGTGCTGGGATTACAGGTGTGAGCCACCTCGCCGAGCCCCCTTACCAGAACTTGTAAGACAACCTTGTCCAATCCTCAGCCCAGGACAGCTTTGAAAGCAGCTAGACACAAATTTGTAAACTTTCTTAAAAAATTATGAGACTTTTTTTTTTTTTTTTTTTGCTCATCAGCTATTGTTAGTGTGACCCAAGACAATTCTTCTTCCATTGTGGCTTAGAGAAGCCACAAGATTGGATACCCCGTTCTAAGGGCACACACACAGAGGTTTTGTACAAAATAAATGTCTGGTTTTCAGTGTCCTAAGAAACGGAGCCCAGCTCTTTGTTTATCTGTTTTGGGGAGTATGGAGGGGATGCCTCTTCTGATTTTCAAAATTTCTCCCTCCTGAGACCTTCCCAGGACCACAAAATTGGAGACAGGATACCAGGAATATCAAATGCTTTCAAAACATTAGCTGTGTTTGGTGAGCCAGCCTATTTACCCCTCTGCCGGGAATGTAAAAGTTATCTACGGCCAGTCCTTAGTTCAAGGTAGGTTGTCAAACAGCCTTCTTCTCCAGAAAGGGCGTCTCCGTAGCACCTCCATCTCAGTAATTTGAGATGAACTAAAAAGAGGGTACAGTGTAAACAAAAGTTACAGGAGGAGATGCCAGAAAGACTAACCTCCTTCACAAGCAGCCTTTTAAAATTAGGGGTTTAGACACCACGGGCAGTTTCCCTCAATAAATTCTCAGGCACTGAAACCAGAGTAGGTAGATGAGGGATGAGCAGGGCGTGGAGGCTGAACACTGGGGCGAGGCAGGCGCAGGGGATGGGGCGCCTAATAACAACGGCAGCCTCCGGAATTACTCTCGCCTCCTTCCCAGGCAACTTCCCCGCCAGGTCAACAGCTTACTTAAGCACGCACTGCCCAGAGATGCAAAAGGGCCCCTTCTGGCGCTACCCACCGGGCACTCGGGCAGCTCGGGCTCCCCCAAAACCCAAAGCTGCGCCCCAATCACCACGCCTTTGCAACCCCAGGTTCCCGCCCCAGAGGCGCCCCACCACCCACCTCTCCCCTAAGGCCATTCAACTCTGTTCCTCCTCGGGCTCCCCCAGCTTTTGCCCCTCACTTCCTCCGTGTCCTGACTGTCGCTCTCCTGAGCCCCCTACACCTGGCACCGCCCCCATCCTACCCCACCCCAGCCCGGCCCCACCGGCCTTACCTGGCGGCGGCTGCCGCTCGCCCTCAGCCATCTTGCTCCGGCCAGGAGCCAGCCCAGATGCCTGCAGTCCCCTCTCGCCTTTCACCGCCGCACTCACCGACCCTTCCTCTCCCTGGCTCCACCAAACACTTCGAGCTTCCTGAAAACAAGTGAGCGCCGGCGGGCTATAACCGAAAACCGAGAGTTAAAGTCACCCCAGCGAAGACAGCCGCCATGTCAGTGCGGGGCGCTCAGGGAGCATGCCTATTAACTGCCGACGCGCGGCGGTCGCGCGGACCCGGGCAACAGCCATGTCAGTGCGGGGCCCGCGGGGCGCATGCGCGCCAACGGCCGCCACACACCCTGCTCGCTAACGGCAGTCAAAACGGCTGGCGTTGTGGCCGCCATGATTGTGCGGGGCGTCAAGTTTGGCTTGTGCGCAGCCATGTTTTTGCGGGGCAGTCTCCACCTGTCACCTTTGTGGGTGGTACTGACCCTAACCCGAGGAATATTAGAGGACATTCCCTGATCAACATGGTTGTTTTCCTACCACTCTAACAGTTACGATCAAGGACACTAGACGGAGTTGGAGAGTGCACACCAACTAGAAGACATATGGGACAGGGTAGAGACAGCTAGACGGTGACCTCTGCCTTGCACCTCCCGGGGTCTCCACGCCTCGCGGGGACTCCCAACCGCTGACCCGCTGACCCGCCCTCGGCCCCGCCCCTCTCCCACCCCCACCCCCCGTCGCGGCCCCGCCCCCGGCTCGCAGCCAGCCTCCTGGGGCCCGCTACCGGGAGAGGCCCCGCCCACCGAGGCCCCGCCCCCCGACCCTGAGCCAGCCCTCTGGGCTCCGCTACCCGCCTGGGGCCCGCTACTGGCCCAGGGCGTGCCCCGCGGGTCCTCCTCCCCGGGCGCCTGCCCTCAGCCCGCCCGGCCCGAGGGTGGGCGCAGGGCCGCCTCTACCGGCTGGTGTAGGTAACTCGGCGACCTTGGCCCGAAGGCTCCAGAAAGGACCCCCTGACCCCAAACGCGGCGGCGGCAGCGGCGCGGACTTTGCCCGGTGTGGGGGGCGGAGCGGACTGCGTGTCTGCGGGCGGGCAGCGAAGATGTTAGCCTTCGCCGCCAGGACCGTGGTGAGTGAGGCAGAGCCTGGGCCTGAGGGCCCTGACGGCGTGGGCTGGCGGTGTGGTTGCGCCCGCCCGGGAGGGGAGACCTCCAGCTGGTGAGGTGGGATGGGATCAGGTAGGCGTCCCAGGTTTGGCAGAGCAGGAGACTGGGGCGCAAGGTCAGAAGCAGAATTGAACCCACGTCCTGGAGCGCTCAATTCCAATGACCCGGGAAAGACGGGGGGAACCCGGCTTCAGTCAGCACCCCACCCTTAGATCCAGAGACAGGCCGGTCGGGGAGAGACACCCAGAGCGTCCAGGTCCTAGCTCACTCTCCCAGTTATCTTTGACTCACACACCGGTCGCATGCTCAGGCCAAAGGAGTTGGTCAGGCTCCTTTGTTTATCAGATGGTCCCTGGGGAACTGTGTGGCCAGAAAAATACGCGGAGGCATCAAGCCAGGCTGCTCAGAAAAGCCTCAGAACTGGCAGGAGGCAGGCAGGTGGCAGCACCATGGCCTCCCTCTCTTCCAGCCTCCTTCCCCAGCCTGGCTATATCTACCCTTCAGTCCTTCCCGGAGGGCATCGCAGATGCTATCCTCATTTGAGTTTCTTCCGTCTCTGATCCAAGCATATGTCTCACTCCGTCTCAAATATACACTCCGGGGCCAGAGGGCAGAGGGTGCATCCCGACTCAGGCTTAGAGGCTCTTCTAGGTGTTACAACGCCCTGAGCCTTCACCGCACCCTTGTCACTGTCTCGAAAGCTGCATCGCATCCCATAGACAGCCTCTCGGTCATCTTCTGGGACCAACTGACTGGCCTGGTCACTTTCCTGCCAGGGAAACTGAGCCAAGGAGGAACTTAGCCAGAGTCCCCTAGATCTGCTCATTCAAATCGAGCCTGATCCCAAAGCCAGTGTCCTTTCGTTTATTTTTCACACCAAAAGTCCTCTACTCTTGAACCCTCACTGAATGAGCCACGGCTCAGGAAAACACAAGTGTTGGTAGAGGGATAGCTCAGATGGGTCCCAGGAGTCCTGGAGAGAAACCAGAAATAGGAAGGGCTCCTGGCTGTCCCATCCACTGACGGCCCTTTCCTGGTGTCTGCTCCCCTGCACCAACCCTAATTTCAGGACTGACCCCAGGGCTGTGGTGTAACCTCAGCAGCCAGGCAGTCTCTGCCCTCCAGCCAGGTTTTCTCTCATCAAAAAGATCTTCACAAATTCTGACAGGTGGATTTTTTTTAATTACCTCTTGGCTTGCCTCCCTGGCGCTGAGCCCAAGCAGAGAAGAAAGGAAAGAGCTTTCCAGGTTCCCTTCCACTGGAGTGCCCACCGCCAGCCCTCTCACCTGCTCCCCAGTCCTCTACTTCTGGGAACTCAGGAGGGTGAAGCAGCTTCTGAAGTCCAGGAGCTTCCCCGCCACTGCCACAACATCCGATGCCACCACAGCCATCGCCATTGCCACCTGCCTCCCCCTGAATCTTGGTTCTTTTCTCTTTCCAGCCCGGGCAAGTGGCTGTCTCTTGCTAAGTTCTGCTCGCCCACTTGGTAGCACAGTTAGGCTTAGAGATCCAGCCAAGGCAGACAGACAGGGCCCAGAACCTCAGTCCTGCCATGGAGGAGGACGGGCAGCAGAGAGAGAAGGTATGGAACAGAGCTCCTGCCGCTGCCGCCTGCCCGCTTCGAGAGCAGCCTCGGGCCCTCCTGTGTCTCTTTCCGCCTACTCCAGGCTCTCCTGGACTTTCTCTCTCTCTGTCGCCTCTCACCCTCCATCCAGGCCCCTGGGCTTTCTCACCACAGCACTGCCCTCACCCCACCCTTGCCCCATCTCAGAGGCAGGAGGAAGCCCAAGGCCCCTCCCCCAGAGGTGCTGCCATTGTCTGGCTCTCTGTGATTCTTCTTCCCTTCTATTTCTCAACCTGGAAAGGGTGGGAGAAAAGGAGGTGGGGACATTCAAGAGGGACAGTCACCACTCTGCTGGCTGGCCTCTCTTCCAGGGTGAGAGAGGAGGAGCCTGTGCAACCCATCAGGTGGGCAGTCTCCCTTATCTCTGCCACCCTAAAGGTGCCATTCATCCTGACTTGGTTCCTCTGAGCCTTGCCAAGAACCATGACCACACCACACCCTACCCCATCCCTACCTGCATCTCGGGGCCCCACAGAGGCGGAGACACCTACAGCTCTAGGGCTGGGAGGCCAGGGCCAGCCCCACCCAAGAGGCTGTCTCTGCCCCCAGAGATGGGCACATAAGTGCCTAGGACTGCAGCTTCGGGACTGCCAGGTCTCTAGAGCCAGAGAGGGAATGAGCAGGATGTTCTGCTGTCTGCAGGTGAGGCCTCTGGGCTTCCTGAAGCCCTCCTCCTTGATGAAGGCTTCCGGCCGCTTCAAGGCACATCAGGATGCGCTGCCACGGCTGCCTGTGCCCCCTCTCCAGCAGTCCCTGGACCACTATCTGAAGGCGCTGCAACCCATCGTGAGTGAGGAGGAATGGGCCCACACCAAGCAGCTGGTGGACGAGTTCCAGGCCTCAGGAGGTGTAGGAGAGCGCCTGCAGAAGGGGCTGGAGCGCCGGGCCAGGAAGACAGAGAACTGGGTGAGTGAGGGCGCCCTCACCGTGACGTGCTGCTGGCTGCAAGCCTTCAGTTCTCCAGTGCCCACTGCTCTGGCATGGCCGTTCATTTGCTGTCCACAGTTTTGTGAGCACATACTCTGTGCCTGGTACTTGACAGGGCGCTGGGTGAGCAAGAAGGGTACAGTCACCAGCCCCTTGGAGCTGACATTCAAGTAGGGAGGAGAGAAAGGGGCTGAACAGGATACAGGTTGTGGACGAGGTGGTTTCATGCAGTGAAGTTCTGCAGAAGTGAAAGGCGGATGAGGAGGAGGAGGGCTGGGGTGGCAGCCGCGCTATGCTGCATGTCAGGAAACGCAAGGAGGAAGGGATGTTGGGCCCAAGGGTCTGAAACAGACAGAGGGGACAGCACGGGCAGAGACCACCACCTGGCATGTTCTGGGACAGAGGCAGGAGTGGGGTGCAAGGGCAGGTACAGCCAGGTAGGAGGAAGATGCCCTTGTGCTCGGTGGGACAGCCTCAAGCAGGGGATGTGTGCTGCTCAGTGACCTGGTTCTGTATCTGATCTGTGGCACAGGTGTGCCCACTTTGGAAAATGTGTCCACACCAATGCTTTGTGTGCTTTTCTATTTGCGTCTCATACTTCAACACACAGATTATAAAGGTGGCCCAGCTGCTGGGAGGGAGGCAGAGTGGGGGCCAGAGGTGAGGGGAAGATGGTATCATCACCCCTAGGGAGCTGTGGCAGCCTTAGCCTGGCACTGGATGGGAGAGTGGTTAAGTCCAGGACTGCTTTGGAGGCAGTGCCAGTAGCCCTTTTGCCAGTGAGGTGGGGGTGAGGGTGGAATTTGCCAAGTTGGGGTTATCCAAGGGAGAAGTTGGCTATGGGAGACCCAGAGCAGGCCGGCCCTGGGAAGCGCTATGGTGTAGGAGGTGCCACGGGTGGGGAGGTAGGGCTCTAGCCCTGGGGCTTGGCAGAAGCTGGGGGGCTACACACGGGAGGTGGGAGTTGTCGGCATTAGCTGAGACTTGGCAGGTCAGGACCTTGGACTCCAGAATCAGGATACTTCCCCTGAAAGGTCCTTAGAGAGTCTGGGGGCCAGTGATTTTCCAGCTTCGTTTAGCCTGGGACTCCTTCAAACAGAAGTTCCTGGCTAAAGGGGTGGGGGCACCACTCCCCCATTCACAGGGCCACTGAAGGGTTTCTGCCACCACCTGGCAGATTCTCACTGGGGGAGTCCCCATACCTGTAGGGTCTCCCAAGCTCCAGCCAGAGGCTCTAGGATCCCTAGTGGAGTACAGGCCCCTGGCTGTTTCTCCAAGGGAAGGGAGCTCCTGTCTGCCATTCCCTGATCTACAGATGAGAAGCCCAGAGAGGTGGCCAAAAAGCCCAGAGCCACACAGCAGCTCTCAAGGAAGCCCTCTGCCACACAGGAAGGTCTGGCTGACTCAGGGGCCCAGCCCTTAGGGGCTGCCAGTCACCTGTCATACAACCTAGGACAAGTCATTCCTCCTCACCCCTTGCCAAGGGCTAGTGGCCCAGCGCTGCAGGGGAGTGCATATGGTGAAGAGGTGCATCCTGCTGCTGTTCGCCATGAGGGGAGGGGGCCCAGGGTGGGCCCAGGTCTCTGGGGGTGGAGAGCCAGAGAAAGTTGTACTG